GCCTGCCGGTACGTGCCCACAGACTGGCTTGGGTGCCCTGAGGGCTGCTGATCTCCTGGAGATTTTGCTAATGTCTGAGAGCAGCTGTCAAACTGAAGTGTGGCAGACGTTGTCACATACATCAGCCTGGCACGTGGAGCAGAGAGCGCGTCTTCTCCGGGCCAGTGCGCCAGAGCATGGGCATCCGAAACCGGGAGGCCTGAACTCATCTGAAGGGGCCGAGAGCAAGCAATGAGCTTGTCTGAGGTGGGTGATGTGAACCAAACCGTGGCCGCGGGCTCACCTCGATGCTTTCGGCAGTCGGGAGAGAGAAGGGGCAACACCTTAGTCCAAAGCCAACTGGAGATGCCAAACAAAAGCTTGCTTAGGCTCCAGTGGTGAATTGCTTCATGGGAACGTGCTGTTCAGATGCTTTATTGAATTTTCAAGGAGCAGTTTTTCATTGGGGCTGAAATATGAGAGAGAACAGAGTGTTCCAAGTCACTAAAACGAACAGAGCAGCAGCTTCACAGGTTTGTGAGTGGCAAGAAAGGTTTATTTAATAATGGGAAAAGGCCGGAACATAGCCCAGGGTATCAAGAAAGAATTAATCCAATTAACAAAATAAAACACAGGCTTAAGAAGAAATACTAATTGTAGCTGTCCAGCAGGTTGTGTGATACAGGTTATTTTTCTTAAGCTTCAAGAAGCTTGCAATATTAATCCCTCAAGGGCCTGAGATGTTAAATATACACTTCCCCAGTGAGTAAAGCAGGTTGTTAATTAATTTTGTCTTGTCAGACCTGGGTGCTGAAGTAAATGATTCTATAATAAATTTTGCATGGCCTCTGGGTATCTGTCATCTTCTCTAGGTGGTCTGTGTTTCATTTTGTCCCTGTGCAGTAAATTTCTAGCCATATGAGCAGAAAGACTGGGCCTGTCCCTGTTCCAAAGCAAGTTGCAAATAGTGCTACAATTACAGTCTCGTCCTCCTGCTGGGTGAAGGCTACGGCGGGCTGACACTGCACGGGGAGGGTGAGGTGAGGTGAGGTGAAGTGAGGTGAGGTGGGCGAGTTCGGGGCGAACGGGGGAACCCCCCAGGCTCTGGCACCTGCTGTAAAGAGCAGGTGAGGCCGCTGACGCGCTGGGGTTGTGTGGCTAATAACTGCTTTTTCTAATGTCTGTGGCTACCACAGAAGCACCAGCGCTGAAGCGGACACAAAATGCTGTTTTGTCGTGGCTGGGACACCTGCTCAGCTCCAGTCGTTTCTCTTCGGAGATGTGCTGGCTTTGCAGAACTCCCTAAGTGTTTTCCGGCCCATCTGGGAGCAGAGAGGGGTGGAAGGACATGCTGTCCTCTTCTGGACATAACAGCTCACAAATTGCTTCCGAATAAATGGCTGGTGCTCGGGTTGATGATTCAGGCCACTGTTTGTGAAGGGGGATGGGAAACAAGGGACCAAACAAATTCAAAGATAAAAAATTCAAAGTTAACATCAGACCGTGAAGCAAACAGTTGAAGGAGAAGGTTAAAACCTCTGTTCTGTCAGAAAACAGTATGTGACGTGGTCCTTAAACTTCAGATTCCAGCATCGTGCCTTTTCAGGATATGTGCAGAGCTGTAGGTAATTCCAGCTTTGTCTTGTGCTTAACGGGGAGGGGCGGGCGACCTCCGCGGCGTAGGTTTGTTACTTCCCGCCATGTCCTCGTGGAAAATGGGTTTGAGATGAGCCACTGGAAGAGTCAGATTAAACCAAATGCATCTGGGATGAATATGGGTTCATAATCCTGCTAAAGGAAGCTCTGAAATGGGGAAGAACATCCCAGTAATTTCACTTTGATCCTCTGCGCTGAGGTGTATGTGGTGCGAATGCGAGGTGCAAGAGCAACGTAGCAGGGCTTCAGGTGAGTCCTCTCAGTGTCAGGATTAACGTGACCAGTTCTCAGGCTGGCTCCTTTCAAAAAGCGGTTTCTTCAGTTCTTTTGACTTCATCCCAGGGTAGCTGTGGGCGTGTTTATTGTGGTTTTATTTTACGTAGCAGTAGTTCTGGCCCAAGTGCGTTACAGTAATTTGTTAATTTTTTCCAAACTTGTCCTGACACTGGAGTTTGGTCATGAGCTTGACCTGCATGGAAATCTGGGAGCGTGTTAGGAAGAGGGGACGCGTACGCTCCCCGCCATTGCCAGGGTGTTACCCTGTCGCCGTCGCTGCCGCCGTGATGCTGCGGGACGGGGAGCTTGCCCCCGCCTCGCGGCCTCCAGGCAGAGCCCTGCGTCGCACGTCCCGCGCTGCCCTTCTCTCACGGCCCTGTTTTGCCCGCTGCTTCCCTTGTTTGCTTGGGTTTTTTTTCTCCTGCTGCCTTTTTCCTGTCTTTTTTCCCCCTTTCTTGCTCACACACACGCACAAAGCATTGTTTATTTTTCATCTCGCCCTTTCTGTTTTCTCTCCCTCCAGATTTTCTTTATTTCTATCTTGTATTAATTCTAATCACCTTCCCTGGAAGTCAGGCTGGAGGTGGGGTAGTTTTCAGTATCGCTGCTTTGAAACAAACCTGTTGGGATCTGTAATGGACCACCAGGTGCCAGCGGAGAGATGTAGGAGCGTATCACCGACATCCCCGACATTCAAGAAAGTAGCAGCAATCTTTAGGAGGTCAGTGGAAAACGGGTTTTTCTAAAGGAAGGTAGACAATATAGAGATGTCTTGGGGATTTTTGTTCTTTGGAAAAGATTAAATGGATGATCTTTATCTTCCTCGTAATAGCTAGTTCACAAACTAATCTCTTCGGTTGGTTTCTTCCTCACAAACCAAACAAAACACATAAACAAGATTGCTGAAGGTGGCGAAAAAGCTAGGTTTTTGAAGCACTTCCAAACCACCAAGAATCATTCACTTTCCTTTCAAATGCAGCATTAACAACAGAGCTCTAAATCAATGAAAGGTCTAAAATTAGATTATATTTCTGAGATCAGATGTGAATCACAAGTTAATCATATTTTCTTTTATTACCACTGTCTTTACCCTTTTATTTTATCCTGAGAAATTAGGCTTCTGACTTGAAAACAGAGTGAACTGTGAAGGCATGAAACCCTGCTGGGTCAGACCACAGCAGATCGCCTGCGGATGGGGTCCCCAAAACCTTTTGGTTTGGAGGTTCGCGTTGCATCTGAAACTGAGCCAAGTGATTTATCAGTTAGTGCTGCGTCTCTCTCTCCTGCGGCCCCCTGATGTTTCAAGTAGCTGTTTTCTTAAATTAATGACAAAATATTACTGCTAAAGCTCGTTAAATAAGGTTTAAAACCCACGCTGGAAGTGACAGGGTGGGACAGCAAACCGTTATCTTGCGACTGTGGCGCGAAGCGCAGGGAACTGTCTTCTCCATTGCTATATTTTTAGCCGAAACTGTGGTGAAATGCACCCGTGTCTGAAAGCGGAGGCACGAGGTCACCTGCAAGGTTAGCGCCCGAGTGAGGCGTGTAGGCGATGTGGGTCTGTTCACACGAAATGGCAGCTGTAGGGACTGTGTTTCCTTGCAAGCGGCACCAACGTTAGTCCCGGATTCGTGTGCCTGGTACTGCAGGAACATGACTGTATACTTGAGAGATGACGATGTGTGTTTCTGGGAGAGGTGTATCTTGGTGGATGTGTTTCTGGCTGTTTGTAGTTGAAGAATGATGCTGACCTGAATCTGTGGATGCAACAAACACTATGGACAGTGCAGGTATAATGAAGAAATGGTTTGCTTATAGGATGAAGATTTATGTGAACAAAAATGATGGTGTTGCAGCAGGGGAACCTGCAGAGAGCGCATGCTCAGGGGGAAAGTCCTCAGAGATGGCGCTGTCTGACGTACCTCGAACTGTTCTCTCTGCCGCTGATCACGTTCCAGTATCTGTGCGCTTGAAGGAAAGACAGGGTATGGCAACAGAGCGGTAACCACACGTGCCAGCAACATAACCCCCTTACGAGCGAAGGTCCATGCGTCGCAGAGCAGCGTGTTGGTGCAGCACGCTTTTGTGGCCAAGTACGTGAGGGCGGGCAGCACGTGAGGGCTCCAGTCCGGTGCTTGTGACCAGAGGGAGACAAGTGTATGTAAAAAGGCTCCTCCACCTCTCCTCTGTGCAGCCGCAGCACTTGCCAAGGCATAATTCACGGGGCTCTCGTGTTTCAGGGCAGACTATCGAGCAGCTGCTGAAGTGCCAGCTCAGTTGGTAGCCTCGAAAACAAAACATCCCTTGTTTCTCATCACCACTGTGAAATGCTGCCTTCCTGAACCTTGGGTTTGGCCCTGCAGCTTTCAGGATAGACAAAATGTGAGATTTTTGCCAATGATGTATTCTTCTAGGTCTGTTTAATATCCGTTATCAATTTAATGTGCCACTTTAATGAGATTTTCTTTTTTCCATCTCCTCCGTAGAGCTGATTACTTAGTGTATGTATGTGGTTGGTGTTTATTTTTGTTTTTTTTTTTTAAAGGAAACTACAAGTGAAGAAGTTTGAATGTTTGCTTCAGCTGAAGAGAATATTTCCCAAGCCCTAGGAGGAAAGGGTGAAAAAGAGAACTGGAGGATGTTGCTGGTGGGTATGTACATGACAGGAAGCCATGACTAGCAGCGTGACTGTCAACAGGAAACAAAAACTCACAGCCGATGTGATGCCGCCATACAGCACACCTTCTGCGTCGTCGTGCCTGCTGGACTTTGTGGCCTGGGGAGCAGTGTATGGCTACGTGAGATATTCCCCTGTCCATTCGTCTGCTGGAGTTTGAATTATTCTGCATCTGGTTAATCCACTTTGCTGGAGTTGGCAAGCCCTGTTTTTTTCTCTTGACACCTGCTCCTGTAAAGACCTTGAACAGCTCTGGGGAGAAAAGGGTGCGTGTGAGCAACTTCCACCGACTGGCAGCTGAGTGCTTTTAAGACCCCAGGCAGCTTTGAGGTGTCTTGGCTGTTCAGTGCTCTGCAGATATGAACGCTGAGCTTCTCTGGCACGTTCTCACGTTGGCCTGGTCGCTCTCACCATGCTAGTACATGGGAAAGAAGACTTCCTCTCAGACGTAGCTTACATCGTCTTGGAACTGGTCATTGCGGTGCTGGCCATCCTGGGGAACATCCTGGTCTGCTGGGCAGTCTATTTGAATAGCAACTTGCAGAACGTCACCAACTATTTCGTGGTGTCCCTGGCTGCTGCTGACATTGCCGTGGGCGTGCTGGCAATCCCCTTTGCCATCACCATCAGCACTGGCTTCTGTGCCTTCTTCTATGGCTGCCTCTTCATTGCCTGCTTCGTCCTGGTCTTGACTCAGAGTTCGATCTTCAGCCTCCTTGCCATTGCCATTGACAGAATCATTGCGATCCGCATACCCCTCAGGTAAGCGCAGGCCAGGCTGGGGGCACGGAGCGGGGCTAGGGTGGTGAGGGATGAACATCAGTGAACACAACAGATCTGGAGATGAATTGGGGAAGGGAAAGTTAAATGAGGAGCAGCGCTTTTCCCCTTGTAATTTGAAAAAAAACTTTTCTAGGTCTTAAAGGCTGCCTTGGCTGCTAGATTTTCTGTTTGCTTCTTTTTCCAGTTCGTCTCTGTGCTCCTATGGTGTGTGCCCATGGCATCGCAACGGCGCTGCCTAGGAGCTGCCGTTCCATATTTAGGCAGGATTGTGCGGTAACCTCAATAACCTGCGCTCTGAGCCAGAGCCAGCGGCACCAGGAGGATCGCTGTGGGAAGCTGGAGCTAAAGCAGTTCATGGTGGAGGCAGAAGGGGGGAGAGGTCCATCTGTCTCCTTCCCCATGGGGAGAACGGGGGACTCTGCCCGCAGCTGTAGCAGCAAGGTTGTGGAGTGGGTGGATGGGGGTTTTCTCTTGGGGGTCCATTAAATGTGAAGGGAGGAGAAGCAGCAGGCTATGAAGAACTGGGCCTTAGGAGATTTGGACTATCTTAGGCACTGCCTCTGGGAGCAAAGCACGTATTAGGTCAAGGCAGAGGTTTGTCCCAGCCCAGACCTGGAGATGGTTATTCTGGGGTCTCTCCTCTGGAGTTTAAACGAAGAAAAGGACGTTTAAATAGTAGAGCTTGAAAGCTGACTATGACTAGCTGCTACTTTGTGTGCAGCCAGGGAGGCTGATGTGCGACAAGGGCAAGTTTTGCCACACGCACAGGGGCTGCTCCTCAGTTCAGTTTTCCAGAAGCACGTTCTTGTGACGGGATATGTCTGGCCGTGGGCGCGGAGCAGTGCTGCGTTTCGTGGGCTGGGTTTGGCTGCTTTGTGACAATGCTTCCGAGTCGTTCAGCAAGCTCCAAAGACGGAGAGGAAGCCCCGGGAGAGGCCGGTGCAGGCAGAGTGTAGGAGTCTCCTTCCTTCCCATCTTGTCCTTAGGAGGATGCAGCATCCTCTCAGGAATGGAGAGACTTGCTTCCCATCCTGCTGCACACGAAC